GTGTTTTTCCAAACAAGCTAGGGTTTTTATCCCCTCGTGTCAATATTAAAGAGTGTCAAACCCCCCCAGACAACCCCCCCGTCGCAGCGTGCTGGGGTAGGGGATTTCTGGGAGTTGAAGTCCATACATCTTCAAGTTGCTAAGGTTGAGAAACACTGCTCTACGGTATATGAGCAAGAAGTTCCTACTGTCAGGATTTTCCCAAATAAAGTCACTGTACTGAGCAATTCCTCCAAACAATCCTGAGAACATTATCTTCCACTTTCCTGATCTGACCTGGGAGATCTGGGATGTGAGATTACTTGGAGGAGAAGCAGAATTGGCCAACAGCTAGATTTTCCAGGAAGGACCTTTTAGATAAGTGGTATGTAACTATATTTGTATATATTTGTAGCTATATTTGTGGGTTAGCACAGTTGACTCTAGCCCAGAGTGCTGGTTGGGGAATTCTGGGAGTTGAAGTCCACACATCTTCAAGTTGCCAAGGTTGAAAAACACTGAACACTTCAGGATATTAGCCCAGCAGATACGGATCAATTCTATCTTTCACCCAATAACAACTAATATTGTGATTACATAGAAATTAGATTACAGAAGCAGAAGAAGCCCTGAAAAAAAGTAAACAGAACTCACATTTTGCATAGATCATGTAAGGTTGCTTCTACATTTTAGCCTAAATTAAACTCAGTACCATTTATTCCTTTTTCTGACATATACCTACCGCTTCTTAGCAGATCGGGTACGCAGTTCTTCCAGCTCATCTGCTTCAGTGTTTAAAGAACCTGTTTTAGAAAGTGGAACAGAGGCAGCAGAAGCAGGAAGGGATGACATTTGCGCCTCCTGAGTTACGGAATCATCGCTGAAGAAATCCACTGGAAGGACAGAAGCTAACTTAGGGGGAATCTCTGTTCCCAGACTGTAGTACAAATCACCAAGAGTCTTTGGCATAGATTCCATATATCTGTAGGGAGAGCATAACCATAGGATTTTAATCTTGGTGAAATTTATGTACCAGGCTCTGTACTCTGCTTTGTCATCGAAGTGCAAAACATTTTCACTCTCTCAATACTTCTGTTTTAAGTGTTAAACAGGTTGGTTTGCTAATTATGGAAACATTTGGCTAGTCTGCATAAAAATAGTATTGAATAGATACTCCTTGCTATCTCCAAATGAAACCACTCCAAATATTCAACTGCATCATCCAGGATTCCACTCAGGGGGAACTCTTTTCTTACAACTAGATCTTCAGTTCAACCACTGAAATAGTTTTGCTTTCAATTTACATTTCACCTTTAGAGCACTCATGGCAGCATGCTGTATGTTCAGTATATCAGCAGTAATCTTCAAAAGTAAATGAGTATTTGGGAAATATGGTGGGATAGAGACAAAGAAGTAAATCCCAATAACAGACACTTAAAGCCAGACTTTCCATTTTACAGGCAATAACACAAGGCCAAATTCTGTGACTTTATTATCGCTGAGTACTGATATGCAGCATGTGGAGCACAAAACATTTAATGTACTCCTATTCTTGAGTGCTATGGATAATGGAATCAGTGTTATTTTTCCTGCTGTGTTCAAATTTTCTCATTAAAAAATCTTTCAGCAAGAGCACTTACATATCTACAACTTCTTCCAAAAATCTGGTGAGGTATCCTGGGTCTTTACTCAAGCACAACATCCTAAGTAACTCCGTCATCTGCAAGAGAACAGAGTTCCCAAATCCTTGATGCTCAGGCCTCAAGCTGCAATTCAGGGCAACTAAAGGCAAAGCCTCACTTTCCAGAACTCAACAGATGTTTAACACCCCCTTCTTCATCTACCTCTTCCACAAGCTGCT